GGCTCTGAAAACCATTCTATTTTCAGTCCCTGACTAGCTCCTCAGCCTGCACTCGCGCCTTGAGCTGCCTGAGTCACTTCTCCCTACGCCCAGTGCGGCTTCTTTCTGAATGGAGTGGATTATCATAACACCATATGTCAGGAGAGCAATTCACAATTTACAAAGCCCTTTCATGCAGCAACTCTCTTCTGATCTTTCATCAGCCTGTGAGGTTAACTGGGCAAGTAATTTAATCCACGTTTCACAGATAAGGGAAAATAGAGACTCAGAGCAACTCAAGCAGCTTAACCAACAACATACACACACACTCTCCCTCCAGGAAGTGTGGGGATGAGTGTGAGCCCCAGGCTTCTGCCTGAGTCTGTTTCTCATCGCCACCACCTACCACTGTCCAGGTGTCTGTAGCTTATGGGGCTGGCGAGTGGGACCCTGCAGGATCACCTGTGCAGGCCACTTCCTTTCTCCCTTATGGAGGACATTTGCTTCTGGGGAGTACTGCACTTTGAATCCAAGGAATTTCAAGTGCTAGCAGGAGATAAGTAGGGCTCTAGACCAAGTGGAGAAAGTGGCCTGAAGTTGCCTCCCCACTGGGCCCCCTCACCCTTCCTCCCCTCTCCTTCCACCTTTCCTTCCAGTCCCTAAGAAAACCTTGTCTCCGTTCCTTCATTCAGTCACTCTAAGGCATAAACGACTGATAACAGTTTAAAGGGTAACCCCTCCACACCTTAGCCCACCCTACGTTCATGTGCTCTATTTTCCAACTTAAAAGACAGCCACATTCAAACATACTGTTTCCATGAGGACAGTCCACGTTTTTAACAACTGGCAGAGCATAAGGCAGGGGACCAATGGAGACAAACAGTGGCCCTAATGCTGAGCGGGTCCTGGACCCCCTGCCCCCTCCATTGTGCCAGGCATGACGCAGGGCTGTGGATCCATGGGAGGTCTGTGGGGTGAGGGGGGTGCTTGGGGGAGCTCTGGGCATTGGCCACTACCAGCCAATGTGGAAGCACCCCAATATTTTCATACTCATGTGCCTGTACTGGTGCATACCAGCTGCATATTAGCACCAACTATTTTGTTTTATCTTTTCCAGGACACTTGGAGCAAGATATGACATTTTATTTTCAACTACTGAGGGAACCAAATCCCCATGAGATTCAACAGTGTCTCCAGCTCAGTGCCAGTGAGGGCTGCTGGCAGTTGGGAAGTTCAGAGCTTGGGGTGTCTGAGATGGGAAGTCCCACATGGGATAGAGGCTCAGGCCCTGCCAGAAGCCAAGGAGTGGGGTGTGGGGAAACCGAGGAAAGGAACAGAAAGAAAAGGGCTGTGTGTGTTTGGGCTGGGAAGCTAGTGGGGGGCAGGGAGATGGGGAGGGGGATGACTCTGAGAGACTGAGAACAAGCCTGCCCTTGCCCACGGCTTTGCTGTGGCCGGCACAGCTCCTGAGTGGAGCACACAAGCCATTTCCACCATTTGCTCCCCTCGTGCCCTTCATCTGAATGTAGTTGTCCGGAGAATGTGGTCACACCGGCAGCACTAGTCGTGGCATTTGTGATTTTAGGAAGAGCTGTGTCTTGTTCATTGGGGACTGCAGATTTACTCTTTGTGTATGCCCAACCCCCAGCCAATCCCTCGGTTGCCTGGCTGGGAGAATCCCTGGCTCTGTGGACTCTGCCGTGAGCCAAAGCTGGTTCATGCTCAGGTGGGGTCTCTCCCTGAAGAATGCCCGGGCCTCAGGCGGTCGGATAGGAATCCCAATTTACTTCTCTGTGGATGGAGTCCTAAACATTGGTCAGCATTTGCCCAGGACTCTAGGTACCCCTGCCCACTAGGGGCTGGGCAGGACCCTGATCTCTATCCTTCCTGGAAAAGTGCAGGCCCCTCTTAGGCTCACAGGCAGGGCCTTCACTGCTAGTCCTGGGGGGAAGAGAATTAGCCTCATGGCCACTGTGCTGCAGGGGCCAGTCCACAGCTGGGGACTCCAGGGGAGGTACAGGCCTTCAATTTGGCTCCTTCACAGACCCTGGCAAAGGGACAGGAATGCATCGGCACAGGCTCAGCATCCATGACAATGATCAGGTCGATCAGGTTCTTTCTGCTCCGTTTCTGAACCTCCCTTCTCCTTCCCAACCAAGGGTAGTAGCAGGTATGATTCGTGTCCCAGGTCCAAAGCGACAAGAAATAAAAAATAAATTTTTAGGCACATGGCCTAGTGGGCAGAACGAGATGTCTTTCCCTGTGCACGGCAGTGATCATCTACCACAGACCTCTCAGCAGAGGCTGACATTCTTATAAGAAAGAAAAAACAAAATGCAAATTCTAATCCCTAGAAGAGTCATCTTTTTGCCTGTGTTTTTCCTTCCTTGTCCCTTGGTCTCTGCCAATTTAGAGTCAGCGACAACCTGTCACATGATTCCTTTTGAAATCGGGCTCTGGCTGGCGCTGCTTTTCCTACCCACCGTCCATCTGCTGGCTCTGCAGCAACCTGAGAGAGCGCTCAGGTCAGAACTGAATCATTCGACTGGACTTGGTCCTGGCACAGGCAATTTTATTACCCTAAATGTCCTGGAAACCCTGTTGCCTCTGGCTCTAGAAGACTCCAGGCTCAGTCATTCCCGGACGGCTGTCTGCAGCCAGCCTTGGCGTCCCTCTGCAGTGGCTGTGATATGAGTCACAGGGGCAGTCTCCAGCAAGGCTGAACATGAGGTGGGCACGGAGGAGGAAAGCTGTGTTGTCCCTCCGACAGGGGTGAGAGTCCAGCAGGCAGGCGATGGCCACTGGACCCCCAGGGTTTGTGGTGAGGACTGAGGGGATGGCATCAGCAGGGAGGACAGGTAGTGCCAGCCCAGGCCCCAGCAGAATGGCCCTGTTGTTAACTGCCGGGCAGAGCCTGTAATATCAAAACCAGACATTGCCTTAGGATGGAAAGAACATGCTGGTTCTTCCTTCCCAGGCCTTCCATGTAAAGGAGAAGTGAGCTCCAGATACATAATTCTCTCCCTTTGTGAAAGTCTCTCTCATTCAATGAGGGAGCCCTAGGCACACTCTTGCAGTGATTTATTAATGTCACAAACAAAGCATACTTCATTTTTATTTGAACTGGCCAAATAATATGCTGCATACAAGGCAATTCACCATGAAATATTTAAATTAAAAATAAATAAGCTCCATTCTACATAAATCTTCAACTGCTACATATAAATAAAAGCCGTCAGTTAAGAATTAAGTTAAATAGTTGTAGGATACTCTGTTATGTCCAGCAGAGATTGCCTGTTTGCTCACTAATTTTGTTCTGGACCCCAGTATCTCTACTGTAGAAGACTATTGGACAGTCCTTTGGGACTGTCCCTCTCTGAAAGAGCACTTGATGCCCAAGTTTCCAAATCATGTTAGGATATGAGAAACGGGTGTTCAGAGTCTAAAACAATGGCTGACGAGCAAAGACCAGCGTGGTGAAAGCCAGATGCCCAGGCCTCTTATCCACCCCCATGGCTTCTGTTCACCAGGAGATTTGGCAACAGCTAACTCAGAGAGCAAAAGGTAAGACGTGGCCACAAAGCAGCAGTCCTAAACAACAGTTGAGGCTGAGACATCTCATGTGGCCAAACTCTTCTTTCATACCAAGACATGGCAATTTGCAACACAGTCTTAAGCTAAATTTTACTGTGAAATCTATGGTTTCATTAAGTGGGTCGGAAATTTAAACTTCTTAATTAGAAAACAATTAGAAGCAGAGGTTAGGCCGCAGATGACAAATATACAAGGCCTATGTCGCTAATCCCCTCCACAGGCAGGCATTACTAATTGACCACTACATTCTTCTATCTCAGATTCCATCTCCACACAGAACTCCAGGCAGCCTCTACCAATCAATCATGTTTAGCATCTGAGATGAAAATTATTTACTAACCGTGGCCTTGCTCTATGTTCTGAACTATTTTGTGTGAAGTTCTTCTATCTCAGATTCCATCTCCACACAGAACTCCAGGCAGCCTCTACTGATCAATCATGTTTAGCATTTGAGATGAAAATTATTTACTAACCGTGGCCTTGCTCTATGTTCTGAACTATTTTGTGTGAAGGAGTAGACACAACACAGGCATTGAAGCCTGACACCATATGAGTTAGGTGCCTTCGGACTAATCACCTTACCTTTTTGAATTGTGTCTATTAAATGGGTAAGGCTACCTAACTCAGAGTTGTCAAAAAGGTGAGGAGAATGTGTGTAAAGTGCCCCATATCATGTCTGGCACATAGAAGGCATTTAATAGATGACATATGAGTTAGGTGCCTTCGGACTAATCACCTTACCTTTTTGAATTGTGTCTATTAAATGGGTAAGGCCACCTAACTCAGAGTAGTCAGAAAGGTTAGGAGAATGTGTGTAAAGTGCCCCATATCATGTCTGGCACATAGAAGGCATTTAATAGATGACAGCTACTAACCATTATTATTATTATATCATCATTTTAAGGCTACTGATGTTGACAATGAACTGATGATGACGTGTCCACTGAAAAAAGGAAAGCATAATATCACGTATTAGGTTGCACCATGTTAAACTGACATTCTATTGTTTTTGGCCTACAAAGATGGCAATTTCTTCTGGATCAACCTCATACATAATGATGCTTTTCACTGAAATCACTTAATTGTTCCAACTTTATCAGATTCTGCTTTCAAAAGTTGCCCTCCAGAGACATACTCCCACCACTTAAAACCTTCCTCACATTGGCTGCTAGAGTAAGCCAAGCTGGGAGTCTGCTGGAGAGAAGCTGAGGACCTGATGTCTACTTCCACTACCTGGTATCTAGTCACATAATCTTTGAAGGCCTCGATTTGCCTATCTGTAGACTGGAAATACTTGTGCTTTCTTCAGCAGGGATTTTGTGAAGATAAGAAGAGATAATGGATGAGAAAGCACTTTCAAAAGTTAAACTCATTATACCAACTCAAGGTATTATTAATTCCACTAGACTATGCCACTTCAGAAAACGTTAGCATTTAACATCTAATTTTTAATGTTTTTCTGTAGAAAAACTGCACATAAAAGAATAGAGAATTCATGCAATCATGCCAACTGATCATCAAAACTGATCTTGACAATACTCTCAAGTGGATATTAGAACTACTAAGTAAATATATAGTGCTTCGCCCTTAAAAATCTTACCTCTTAAAGGTAAAATAAATGTGATAATGGGAATAGTAAGAGCCATTGTATTTATAAGTGCCTCAAAGGTCAAGCTCTTATATTTACACCAAAAATCACACACATTAGAATAACGGAAGACAGACGGCTCGCCTTCTTTCTTTCTTGGAGGTCTTTTAAATGGGCTGGGAAAATTTGATTTTGGTGTGGTTTTTGCTTAAAGATAGGCATATAAACTTTATAGCCTTCCAAAGTCACTTTCAGACCAATGGCTTCGAGGGTTCTAGGAAGGAACAGGTTTATTTTGCCTTCCAGGGACGTTCTCTCCCATGCCCTAGGCCAGGATGATCGGTTAGTGAGAGAGAATGACGCGTTTGGACAGCTACTAGCAGAGGTAAATGTGGCTCAGTTCCAGTCTTGGAGCTTTCTGCCCGTGTCCGGTGAACCTCAGCCAATGCGGGGCTCCTGAGGAGAGTCACCATTAGTCAGCCTCAAAGGCGCTGTTGGTGGCTCCCACGTATTCAGACTTCTTCTTGTGCCTCGTCCACATTTTCCGGAGGATGTTGGGGACCCCGCAGGAAGCACTGCCTGTCAGTGGTAGGGAGGCTTCTGCTCCTTGGGGAAGGGCTGGATACTCTTCAGCCATCTTCTTGAGATGCCTGGATCTAAAGAGAAGCCAGGGGTGAGTGGGGAAAGTGGTCATTTCACTGAGCCAGCCTTCATGTTTGCCCTTGAGCAGAGTGGCCAGAGCTCGCTCTCCTGCTCTTTCCTCCATCCTTGACTAGGCTCTGTGTAGTTGCAGGGTCACTGTTGAAACCCACACAGCAACGACTTCCCATGGGGGACCCTGCCGTGGGATGAGGGGAGGAGGCATCCCTGGGCACACAGGTTCATGGGATCTCAGGTTTTGCCCCTGTACCCCTGCTACGGGCCTGGCTTTGCCAAAGGCTCTACTTTCCCACCCCTTCCACCTTTACATGGATAATCTAGCTGGAAAGGGTGGGTGTCCCGAAGCATCAGCCAATGAAGGAACACGAGCCATGGGATTGAATCCTGCTCCCCACTTACTGTATGACCTCAGGCAAGTGACTTAACCTTTACCAGCCTCAGTTTCCTCATGTGCAAAATGGAAATAATTCCATTGAACTCATGAGACTTATGAGGAGGAAAATGAGATAACAAAACATCCAGCACATTGTAGACAATAAATATTCATTTTTCTCCCCACTTGCCCCCCTTAGGTGAAAAAAAAATAGCCTTACTTTTCTTTTCAATAACCAGGTCCAGGAGCAAATTGAAATGAGAATGGTTGAGCTCATAAAGGAGCCATGTAGCACCTTTGGCCGCACAGCTATGTGGACCTGAAAGGCTAGCCTCTACCAAGGCATAGTGGAGTTTTTGCTGGTTTACTGCAGCAGTCAGCAACAGCCACTGCCACACAGAGCAATTTGCTACTGGAATATAATACAGTCCAAATGATTTACTATTTTATTTTTTATTTATTTTTTCACTTTTCTCCAATTAAGTCCCAACACACTGAGTGACATGTGACTTGGTTTTCACAGTTCTCCCCAGATGGCTTTCTGTCATCCAGAAGTGCACCACACTGGTCTGCCCTGCTGTGACTGCTGCAGCTCTTTTTGTCTTTTTTACTGACCGGTAAAAGGATCGCAACCCTCGGTGTCACGCCCGTACCAGGGACTGGCAACGGGATCGCAACCCTCGGTGTTGCGCCCGCACCGCGCTCAGCCAGTGAGTGGGCACCGGTCTCCACATGGGATCCGAACCCTCGGCGGGAGCGCCGCCGCACTCCCAAGTGGCGCACTCTCCAGTGCGCCACCGGGCCGGCCCTCTACCTGCTCTTAAAGGCCACTTTCTCCAGGAAGCCTTCCCTGAGGCTGGCAGCCCAAAGTGATCTTTCTCTGTCCTCATGTCTCCATGGCACTGAGCATGACACCTTTTAGCATCCCGCCAATTCTCTTTTTATGGCTGTCTGCTTGTTTCACCTTTTTGTCCAGTCTCCTAGTCCCAGAGAGATTGCATGGCAAGTGTCAGGCTCGGGGACCCAACCTCTTTGGGAGCCCCCCTCAGCCCTCCAAAAGCGGGTGTAAGTGCTCAAGGAACATGTGCTGAATTGAAGATTAACTGGTGGCCTAGCCAAGGCCAAGTCCAGAGGCTGCTCAGTCAGCGGACACACGCTCTGCCTTGTTCTTGCACCCTAAGCCCCATTGTAGGTTTCAAGTCACCACGTTTCTGAAATTGCTGGGAAATTCCAGGTCAAGGGCACCAGTATTCACCACCTCCTCCTCTCCTGAGCTGGCCAAGGGCTATGGGCAGAGTGACTGTGCCACCTTGTGGCCTTTCCAGAGCGCTCCTTCCCCACTGTGCCAATACGTGGGTGAACAGACACCCACCCCTTCTTAGCTCTGGAGGAAAGGCCCTTGTTCCCATGCCTTCCCCTCTCTTCTTAGTCTAATCTTACCCAGTTCCCTGGGATGATGGGCCTCTAAGGAGATGTGGGACCCCAGCCCCACCGTCTCCGGGCCCAGAGGAAAAGCTCAGTTACGTTGTCTCCTCCTCCTCTTCAGAATTATCACCTCCCCTAGTAGCCATGTCCCCATCTTCACCCAATGCCATCCCAGCTCCCTCTGACCGCCCACTGCAGCTGCCTCTTTGCAAAGGGTGCTGTCTGAGCCCTTATGATCCAAGGCTGTGAGCCACGCTTTTAACCTTGGTCTTTCTCTGGGCTCAGTCAAGGGCAGCTGTTTGAGCTGTTGCAGCATGACAACCTTCCCTTTGTGTCAACTGCCCAGCCTCCCTGGTGTTCCCTGAGGGGGATACAAGGTGGTGGAGGGGAGGGACTCCCTGCACACAGCTTGTCCCATTCCTGCCCTTTGTGTCATTTTCCTGGTATAGCGATGACCTAGATGATATCCCTGGATCAGATCTTCTGCCCAGACCGGGAGTGAAGCACCTGCATTTCTGCTCAGTTTGTTTTGTAAGGACCAGGGCCTGGCCCAGACAACCTCTTGGGTCTCTTCCAGTTCTCATTTTGCACCATCTAGACATCTTGACAGCTGATACTCAAAGAGCCTGGGATACCTGTGCTGACTTCCCCTCCAGCCACCACTGATGCTGCTAACTGAGAGGGAACCTGACAGGCCGGACATGTGCTGAGGGGCCTGGAGAGGCACCGCCCCATCCCCCTGCAAGGAAGGACAAGCTGCCCAACTGCAGGAGGGTGGGTGGCAGGGTGGGCAGCAGAAGGCTCTTAGCTCCTTCACGTGTCCTCAGCTGCACAGGGCCACCTGGCCCAAGGTCATGGCCTTCCTGGGGCAACCCACATGCTGTGATGGAGCAAGGAGGGAACATAAAAGCTTGGTCATTTTGACCCAACTCAGACCAACCTGGATGGACAACCCCAGAGCTGCCCACCAGCATGTGCTGGGCCTGCATCGTGGTTCAGTAGCTCCTTCCACCCAAGTCTGCTTCCTGCTCCTGTCATAGGTGTTGATCCCTAATATGTCTTGTGCCTCCAACCCTAAGTCTCAGAGTCAGCTTCTAGAGAACCTGAGCTGTAGCAGATGCCCCCAGAGGTACCCCAATCCAGAGATGACTGGTTGTTATGGACTGAATGTTTGGGCCATCCCCAAATTCATATGTTGAAGCCCTAACCCCCAATGTGATGATATTGGGTGGTGAGGCCTTTGGGAGGTAGTTAGGTTTAGATGAGGTTATAAGGGTAGAGCCCCTGTGATAGGATTAGTATCCTTATAAGAAGAGGAAGAGACACTAGAGCTCTCACTCTCCCTGTGTGCACAGAGGAAAGGCCTTGGGAACCTACGGAAAGAAGGCCACTATCTGCAAACCAGGAAGGGAACCCTCACCAGACACTGAATCTGCCAGCAGTTTGATCTTGGACTTCCTAGCCTCTAGAACTGTGAGAAAATGTTGTTTAAGCCAGCCAGTCTATGGTATTTTGTTATAGCTACATGAGCTGAGTAAGACACTGGTGTTTTGTATTTTCATAGTGCTTGAGAACCTTACATCTCTTTACCCTATAGCTGCATCTGGGGATGAGTGAGGTATTTCCATCTGGCAAGGGCCTATGAGAGAAACTAGTTCTTTACCCTATGTGTGAGATGTCCTCTGGGTAAAAGCCTTTTATGTTTGCCTAAGAGCTGAATTTCCAGCAAGAAAGACACATAGCCAGTGATATGCCACAAGTGCACAAAGCAAGGTCAACTGATAGCTTTTAGGAGCAAAGAACCACGAGTTATGCTTTTCTAATAATCCTCAACCTGGAGCCAAGGACACGTTGTCTCACTTTATGGCACAATAGAAACAGACATGGAGAGAAGTTTAAAGCACAACAGATACAACTAACCAGGCATATTTTACTTACCAAAGATTTTCCATATGCTCGATTCCCACACAAATTTGATGCTTTGGGCTCAGAAATCCCCCCTGCAAAGTTGAACGGAAGAGATATTACTCAGTAGTACTCTGTGTTCTGCTTCCCCCTGGTTCTGTATCAATTATTTTGTTAGCCAATCAATCACAGCAGGGAATTTCTAAAGATCTTTGTACCAAGTGGCAAAACCAAGCAGTAGGGTTGGGCAATGAGGCAACTACTGAGAGGGGTCACCTATACCCCTGTCACTCTTCCGGAGGGACTGGAACTAAGGTGTAAACAAGATCAGTGTGTTAACTAGGTTCGTTCGCTGTACCAAATGTGCCACTCTGGTGGAAGATGCTGATAATGGGGGAGGCTGCACAAGTGTCAGGGCTGGGGGTGAATGGGGAACCTCTGTACTTTCAGCTCAATTTTGCTGTGAAACTAAAACTGATCCAAAAAATAGCCTATTAAAAAAAAAAAAAAGATTACGCATGTGGAAGCATTTATCAGCATCACGCTCTATGCTCTAATCGACTGTGCTAACCGGCCAGTCCCTATGTGGGAGCATTTAGCACTGTCTGCATGTAGTAGGCGCTCAGGGAATGTTCCTCATCTCCCTCCTTCCTACGATCTCAGATGGTAGGAAGGTTAAGAGGTTAGTAGGCGTTACATCTTTACAGCTGGGATCAGTGATTTAACATGGTGCCTGTGGACATCCCTCTAAAAATGAGCAGAGAAGTTGTGCCTGCGGTAGTAAGTACGTGCCCCATACCGTGGAAGGACTGGAGTTTATCAGATCAGAATCCTGAGAAACTGGCTACCTGAGATGTATGTGTGCAGAACCTTCTTTCTAATGCCTTTATTCCTGGTGCCCCGACCTACTTCTGAGGAATTCTACCTGGAAGCCTGAAGCTTCTAAGGATCCAGGTTGAGCTGAGGTAGTGGCAAAAGGGAGGGGAAAGTTGGCTTTCAACACAGCTCTCCCCTGGGGCAGGTGTTCCGGGACAAGCCCTATCACGTTGCACGATAGTATGTAAGAAATCAAACATTCTTCCCCCTTCCCTTGAGGAAAAATCTCCATGCTAATAAAATGAAAAAGTACAAGACTGTCAAGATCAAACCATAATGAATGGCGCCCTAGTATAAGTAATAAAAATTGAACTCATATTTTTGAGTCTGCATGCCAGGCACTGTGCTGAGTGTAAAGCACATAATTACTATCTCATTTAATTCTCACTACAACCCAAAGAGGTAGATATCCTGACAGTTCATACTTTCTAGCTGAGGGAACGTAGGCTTTGGAGATAGGTAACAGTTATGATGAAGTCAGGTAAGAATGATTTAGGGAGCAGTGAACTGACCTCTTTGGTGATCTTGCAGGGCTGGGGAAAACTTGACCAAAGGACCCCCTTGCTCACCCTGAGAGAAGGGGGAGTTTGCCAGATGGAGAGAGACAGGGAGGGCAAGCTGTGGAGAGAACGGTCCAGGGGTCCAGGGAAGCAGAATGTAATGGAGTAGGCACAGGATGACACCACAGCTCAGGGTGCTCTATGTGATAGAAGGGCAGGGGCAGGAGTTCACAGGAGGTGGCCCTGGAGAGGTCAGTGTGATCTGGAAGGTAGAGCAGGGAGGGGACACCATGTTTAAAGCCAAGAGATGACAGGTGCAGATTTCTGCTTTAGGAGGACCCCTTTGGTAACCTTGTGGAGGGACAGGGACTGGAGGCTGGGAACATTTGCTGGCAATCTTCTCTACACAGTGGAGATGAGGGGAGCCTGGGCCTGGGTGTCTTTAGGTAGGTAGCAAATGGGTGAGATGAGAACTATCCAGGAGCTGATGCTGTCAGTGTTTGGTGTGAAGAGGTGGGGGAGGACAAGGAGGTGTTAGGGAAGACATCTTGAGACTTGCTGGAATGATGGATGGTTAGTGACCCCAGCTGAGAAAGGATGAGAGGTTCGCACAGGTTGATTCTGAGGTGCCCGAGACGGCCAAGTCTCCCAGGCCCAGGAGGTGGGGATTGTGCCCTCTGCGGGCATCTGAGGCCTCATGGTGAGAGAGTTTCTCAGCTGGGTCTCTGTCTTCAGAGTCCCCTTGATTCCCAAGATTCCTCAGAGCATGAGAAGGCTACAGCATCCAGGAGGCTTCTCCTATGACTCAGAAAAAGGCAAGCCCCCAGATCCGAGATCCTTGGATACGTACAGCAATCTGAGGAAGGATAGAGACCAGCCTTTCCTGTGGAGTGCACTGGGGTCTGGCTTTGACTCAGAAATTTTCTCTTCCCCCCACCCACTCTGGAATCTATCAGGTTGGGGGAGTTGAAGGAATTGGATCAATGCCCAGCTTAATCTCTCACTTTTTAAAGCCTGACTAGCACATTCTCTGCATGATCTGACTGTCATGTGCTGGCAGATTCTCTCCATTTCATAACTTACTGCTGTTGTCTTTCAGAATAAAGGATTGACTCGGTCAGTCCAAGCATCTACAAGCTACTTAGAAAGGAATGAAAGTGACCCCTGAAACTAGACAGGTGGGAAAACATTATTCCCTGGGGGAAGAGACACTAGCGAGGGAATCAGGAGACCTGAAATGTAATCTTGGCTCTGTGGCTAACAAGCAGTGAGACCTTGGGTATGTCATACAGTTTCTATGGTTTCAGTTTCCTCTTCTGAAAATTGCAGTAGATCAGAGGTTCTCTACCTTTGTCATGCCTTAGAATCACCTGGACGATTTGTTAAAATACAGATTGATGTGTCTTAACTTTGGAGTTTCTAATTCAATAAAATCTGCATTTCTAACAAATTTCAGGGTGCTGCTGCTCCCAGGACCCCACTTTGAGTACCACTGCATTAGATCATCTCTAAATCTTTGCTACTCAATATGTTTTACCCAGAGCAGCACTATCAGCATCCTCTGGTAGCTTGCTAGAAACATAAAATCTCGGGGCCCACCCAGTCCTACTGAATTAGAATCTGCATAAAAATAAAATTTCCAGGTGATTCTTTTGTACATTAAAATTTGAGAAACATAGCTCTAAATTCATTTTATGATTTTGTAGCAAAGATAAAGATTCCGTCTCTTTTTCTCTTTCTGCACACACATGCACCCACCCACTCACCTATATATAGACACAGAGAAACATCTATCTCCTCTTAATTTGCAAGCCAAATTGTGGTTTTCCTAATGTTTCCCTCTGCATATGTAGATGGATATGTAATCACTTAACTAGAGAATATAGCTTGATTTATGTGTTGTTATACACAGATATAAGAACAGAATTAGGTTCTTAGTGATCAAAGAAACCTTAGAGGACTAGTCTATCATCTACAAAAGGGAAAGATGCATGGATGAAGAGACAGTCTTAGTGCAGTATTATTTAAGTTCCCGTAACATACAAAATTGTCAAAGTCCAAAGGCTTTGAGGACATCCTAGGCTTCCTACTGTGTATTTTTGGAGTTAAAATATGAATAACTTTAGATTGTGGGCATAATAGAAATAATCCAAACCAGCAATTAAAGACAAAATACCATCCTAGACTTCAGTCTATGCTAGAAACAGATTCCTGTTAAACTGCTTGGGGTGGAAGACATTTAAAAAAAATAGTATCCAAGGTAAGACTATAATGTTTCCAGTTTTCAAAACAAATTGACCCTAAATTCTCTTTACAGATTGTCGTTCAAGTCATTGAAATGGAAAACGATAAGGTTTTATGATGGCAGTTTATGAAAAGCCTATATAATTCACACACACACACACACACACACACACACACACACACACACACACACACACACACACACACACACACACACACACACACACACACACACACACACACACACACACACACACACACACACACACACACACACACACACACACACACACACACACACACACACACACACACACACACACACACACACACACACACACACACACACACACACACACACACACACACACACACACACACACACACACACACACACACACACACACACACACACACACACACACACACACACACACACGATCTGTTAAATAATACAGTTTCTTTTGCTTCGTGGGTCACAGCTTTTTCTCCCCCACAGCATAATAATTTACATCGTGTGCACACAGCTTCGCTTCCTGTAGGACAAGATGCGGGTTGAGAGCATCTTTACTCATTGCACACACCCAGAAGCCCGTGGTTTGTAGGTAGAAGGTGTTTTGTGAGGCTGCTGCAGAAGCCAGGAGCAGGTGCCTTGGTAGTGGAAAAGGCGCTGATTTGGCTAAAGCGCAGGCGCTCCGCTCACCTGGCGTGACCGAGGCCATCAGGGTGCACCACGTGGCCCTCGGCAAACCACAAGGCAGGCTGCGGACACTGCTGGTGCTGCTGCTCTTTCGTAGGCGTGCGACTGGCTTTAAATGGGACATTGTGCCCAGGGAGGTTCTGGGGCACTGGGGCCGGGGCTCACGTACCAGGTCTGGCGGGGGTTTTGGCGGGATGGGCTCCGGGCGGCCGTGCGCTCTGCAGCCGGCTGAACCTGAGGCTGTCGCCCACGTCTCTGCGGTCGCTGCGATGCTGCAGCAGCTCCAGAGGCCGGTGCGTGTACAGGTCCGACTCGATCACCACCTGCTGCGTGGGGAAGGACAGTCAGCTTATTCCTCTCCTCGGATCTTGGGACTCAGGGCCCCGGGACTGGAGATTTGCAGAAGGATCTTGTGTCGACAAGGAATTTTTGGAACCTTCCCTTCTCCAGTGATTGCTAGGAGCAGAGAGAAAACTTGGGTAGAAAACTGGCCAGAAACGATTAACTTTTATTTTACTTCAGACCGCCAAAGTTCTAGAGGGTTCCTCAACAGCAGTACCTTCACAGTCAGGAGCCTGGGCCATCAGGCGGAAAATCGGGGCAGGTCAGCTGCCTTGAGCCTGATGTGTTGTGACAGGAGGACAGGCTATTTGAAATGAGAACGGTCCTGGAAATTCGGGTCTTAACAGTCTTTGTAGTTTGTAGCTTAAGTGCCTGTAGCTTGTTGCAGCAGAGCGCGGCATTTTGGATGCTCTAGTGGAGGGAAGACCTAGGGAGAGGACTCAGGCCCGCCGGATTCTCAGATTTTAAGTAGCTGCTGGCAAAATGGAGCAGGGAGGGCTCCAGAAAGTGCACATTTCCTCCACTGTGCAGAGTACCTGTGTCAGGGTAGAGCTGGGAGGTGAGTGTCCACTATGTGTGGTTCGGTAAGTGGAAATCCTGATAAGCCAGACAGTGCTAAATGCTAAGGTGTTCTGCTGAAGAGTTACTTGAGAATCGCAGTAAAGGGAAATACCCCTTTTGGTCAGGGCCCACCAAAATGGGCCTTAAAAATTATAATAAAAACACTTAAATCATTGAAATAATCTAAGTGTAAAAACTTGAGACAAATAATAGCAGCTATTTCATCTTACTATGGGGAGTCATGATAGGAATCTTTGCAGTTTGTGCTCGGATCCTGCATACTTTATAAATATCCAGGACACTGGGGTCATTCATTCTGAATGCCCTCCCTCCTTGAAGCTCATTAGCATCTCCAATCTTACACTGCAGCTTTGCTGAGGTTTGCATTTACCCCTTCTTTTTTTTTTTTTTTTTTCCTTTTTTGTCTTTTTTACTGACTGGTAACGGAATCACAACCCTCAGTGTCGCACCCGCACCAATAGCTCAATATAACATCTGTTACATATACCGTCATCCCCCGGTATCCTGGGCAAATTGGTTCCAGGACCTCCCCCAGACACCTGAGGATGCTCAAATCCCTGATATAAAATGCTGTAGTGTTTCCATATAACCTACCCACATCCTTCTGTATGCTTTAAATCATCTGTAGATTACTTATAATACTGAATATAATGTAAATGCTATGTAAGTAGTTGTTATACTACATGGTTTATGGAATAATGACAAAAAAAAAAAGGTTACACATGTTCAGTACAGATGAAGTTTTTTTCCAAATATTTTTGATCTGAGGTTGGTTGAATCCACAGAAGCAGAACCCATGGATACAGAGGGCCAGTTGTAATGGAGAATTATCCCTAGGTACACAGAACTCTTACAAATCAGCGAAGTTGAAAAAGACAGAAAAATGGGACAAAAGTATGATCTGGCAGTTACGGTAGAAATACAAATGAACAAGAAACATGAAAAGATGCTAAACAACATTAATAATTAAGTAAATGCAAATTAAAGCAATAATTGCTTTTTTCCTCCTATCAGATTGTCACTGCTGAGGAAGATAAGTCCACTTGGGATCAGGCAGATGTGAGTTCAAGCCTCAGTTTTGACACTAGTTATGTGGAAAGTGGATATCTGTACCTACCCATGCTGTACTGGGGCATAGTAAATGCCTGCCAGAGATTTTAGTAGCACATCTTGCTCTTTCTTAATGCCACATATTTATTTACAGCATCTGAGAGCAGTTTTAAGTCCTTTGAAGGCCAAATTTTTGTCTCCCGCAGAGAAAAGTGAGAAGCCATCAGTCATTGCTTCAGTTTACCACAAGTAGTCCTTTGCTTAGAAAATTGATAAACCTCAAATTTGGTCTTAAATGGTTTAGGAAATTAACTCTTCTCAGGCCCATTTTAGGACCCAGACTCCAAAGGACTGTGCCTTTGGAGAAAGCTGATAATAATTCAGGAGCATTTAGGATTCATCACTGGCACTGAAAATCCCCTTTTTTCCTCTGGGCATTGCAGAAGGTGGTGTGATTTTGTTGGGTTTCCACAGCAAGGCTTTGATGCAGGCTGCAGGCAGCACCCGTCCACCCTAGGCCAGCTCACTGGGTTGTGAAGTGTGGTGGCGGGTAGTCCGCACTCACACCCTGCACAAGCTGCTCCCTTTCCTTCCTCTTAGCACTGCAAATAATGCTCAGTGCATTTCAAATAATGCTCAGTGCATTTCAAAAATCAGATCACTTAAATTCCTCCTCCACAAGCTTGAAATATGGGGAGAATGTGACATTTGCAATCTCATTAATCAGATCACCACTTAAATTCCTCCTCCACAAGCTTGAAATATGGGGAGAATGTGACATTTGCAATCTCATTTCTCCATCTTTCCTGATGATGGCTCTGCTTCTTGTTGTGAAAGGGCTGTGAATCACGGCTGGTGGAAGTGGCTTCATCATGGTGAAACACTAACTGGCCCACAACTTAGGGTAAGTTTATTCCCTTGAGCTACTCCTATGATGTTGGTGGGCATCAGGATGATCAGGATGCCAATAAAGTTGCCTAAGAATTAAAAAAAAAAAAAAAAGGATGGAGAGACAGTCTAGAGAAGGAACAGTGTGTGACTAGTCAGGGAGGAAGGAAAACTCCAACACTTACGATGACTCAGAGGAGGAGGAGATTTGGAAAGGAAGGAAACTGGTAGCCCACATGGTAGCCCAAGGGGTGAGAAGAGATGCGAATATGAATTCCAGGCCAAAGAAAGTTGTAAATATTGGTACGGTTTGAATATTTGAAGATGAGAGCCTATCTTCTTGACTGAAAGATCTTATATGGAACTTTCTTAAACTCCAAATTACCTATGAACAACACCTTCCTTTTACATTTTTGGCAACACCTGTGTCACTGCTTCTTGAAAGTCAGGAGCATTTTCCTTCTTTGGGCTTAAGTTTTCAGGGACTACGAGATAGATCAGAATTTCTCATCCTACAGCCAAATTTTCCAACCATTAAAAGCCCTTCTCGGGCCGGCCCGGTGGTGCACTGGAGAGTGCGCCGTTTGGGAGCGCGGCGGCACTCCTGCCAAGGGTTCGGATCCCATGTGGAGACTGGTTCCCGCTCACTGGCTGAGCGCAGTGCGGGCTCCCGTTGCTGGTCAGTAAAAAAGACAAAAAGGAAAAAAAAAAAAAAAAGCCCTTCTCTTTCATATAAAATGTTCTCAAAGGTTCTTAGAAAAAGGCATACAACTGACATAAAAACGAGTAAAAGACGTGAGTAAGAAACCCATAGGGAAAAAAATATTGAAATGATCAATAAATCTATGAAAAGGTTAAGAAGCACATTCATAATTAAAGAAATGCAAATTAAACCAATAAGATATATTTGCCTATCAGATGTCAAAGATTAACAACATTAACATGATGAAATATTGGCTTGGTTTGTGGAAAAAATAGTTACTAGGAATTTGGCAATGGCTAAAAAATTTTTTCAAAGTTCATATTCTCTGGCTCAGCATATTCATATCTATGAATTTATTCTCAAAAACATTTGCATAAGAACGTAAAAATATGTTCAAGAATATTTATCGTTATGTTTAATGGGAAAAATGGGGAAATCCCATTTATTGATGATTTGGTTAAATAATGAATCTTAAAAACTTCAGATTTGGTTTGGGTGAATAAATTGTAGGACATTCATACGATGGCATACTATGCAGCCACTGTTAAAGAAAGGGGTAGATCTCTACACATTAATTGGCATGGAAAGATGTTCAAGATCTATTCTTAAGGGAAAAGAGCAAATTACAAAACAGCATATTATCAGACAACAAAGCATACTAATTACAGTACATGGGAAATTATCACTTAAAAAACACATACTATGCAGCCACTGTTAAAGAAAAGGGTAGATCTCTACACATTAATTGGCATGGAAAGATGTTCAAGATCTATTCTTAAGGGAAAAGAGCAAATTACAAAACAACATATTATCAGACAACAAAGCATACTAATTACAGTACATGGGAAATTATCACTTAAAAAACACTAATGTTTATGATGCTCAGTATGTGTCAGGCTCTGAACTAAACACTTCACATGTATGAAATCATTTTCTCCTTCCCATGGTTCGTGAGATATGTTCTTTTATCCTCATTTCAGTGGTAAGGAAGTTGGTTCCTAGAACAGTTAGGCAACTTGCTTAAGGTCACATAGGTAGAAATGGATAAAACTGGCATTCAAATCCAGGCAGTTTGACTCTAAAGTCTATATACCTAACCACTATGACCTATAGCTTCTCAGGATTTTGTGATACTGTATTTTATATCTTTGTAATGTTTGAAATTTTATAACGGGCACGTAATCCTTTTGGAATTAAAAATGTAAGGAATGTATATAAAAACTCCATCTCATTCCCAGGACACATACAAAATTTTAAAAAAATGTAAAATAGGCTTTTGAAAATTGAGATACTTTAAAAATCAAAATGGTGTTCTATGAAAAATGTGATAGAAATAGAAATCCCAGTATAACCAAGATGAAACAGTTATAGATTCCCTTTTAAAATAAAATGCAAAGACACAGCAGTTTTATATAAAGAAATATGTATATAAAATGACCAAACTGGCCAGTTGCAAAAAATAAAATAAAATAAAATGAGAAATGCACAGCATAATTAATTTCTAAAGATGCATAAACTAGGTTTAAGGTAATGTATATTAAAGTAGCAAAACGTAATATAAAAAAATGAATGCCAATTGTTGCTGAGGTTGGAGGTAAATGGAAAAACATTGCTGGAAGCCCCAAAATTGTAGAGAGTTTCTGGAAATAAGGGACAAAACTCTAAGCAAAAACCGTTTTAAAAATCACTAATATTCTCCACATCTAGTGCAGTGTCTTTCACATAGGAGGAATGCAAATCTTTGATGAGTGAGTAAATGGATGGGTGGATGGATAAAACTGTTCTTATCCTTTTACCTGTTGATTCTGTTTTGAGGCCTATATGCCAAGGAATTAATCCAAAAGAATAGTATTTTGTACAAATAAATTCATTTCTGTGCTACTTATAATAGTAAAAAAATGGAACATTACAAAGGTCAATAATGGGAGAACACCTAGGTCAGGGATGCAATATCACATTGTGGACTCTGTTTAAACCAGAAAAAGTGTGCATATAAAATGAGGTTTGCTCTCTGTGCCTGGGGAAAATGGCAGGAAAGGGGGGTCCAGATGAGGGCTGTTTGTTGTCTGGTTGGTATTTGTCAGTTATTTCGGTTGAGTGCAGGTTGGAGAGTGCAGGAACAACCTCATGGGACATAGAAACGCTCCTGGTCATTGAGAGCAGGGGAGAGAGTGAAGTCGTGTATTGCTTTTTTAATGAAAGTCAGTCAAAGGGGATCAAAACTGAAGTTTCCTTACATTCTTGGTCAAGAGGTGTTGAGCACTTTTGACTCTTCTCCGGGCTGGACTTGACACTGCAAAGAGAGATAAAGAAATGGTTTTAGAGAATGCCCATGAGGCTGACATAGCTATAGCAACAACACTGAAAAGGCTGGGACCTGGAGCAGGGCAGGGGCACAGAGGAGGGGAATGGGAAGAGGACGCCGGGTTCCATGGCACTTGAAGGTGTTGCTTGGCTCAAGGGCACCAAAGTTCATAGCAGCATTATTCACAATAGCTGAAAGTTGAAAACAGCCCAGATGACCCTCAACAGATGAATGGATAAACACATTGTGGTATATCCGTCCAATAGACTATTAGTCAGCTTTGGAAAGGAATGAAATTCTGACACATGCTACTACATGAACGAGTCTTGAAAACATTGTGCTGAGTGACATAAGCCAGACACAAAAGAACAAATATTGTATGATTCCACTTACATGATGGTACCTAGAGCAGTCAGATTCATAGAGACAGATAGTAAAATGGTGGTTACCAGGGGCCATGGAATGTAAAAAAAAATGTTTCTTTGTTGGGAAAAGATGTGGATTTCATTGAAAATGGAGACTCTTAGGTATCTATTTTTCACATTGCTGCTAGGAAATCCCACCATGTTGCTGCCCTGCTTAGAACAGAAATGACTTCTTATCACATATCAGTTAAATGACAGATGAGTGTGGTCCTTGTTATCTTCCGCAAAGCCCTGCAGCCATGAAACCTGGAGTCCAGCGAGCTGGTTGACAGTCAGGGCTCCCGACTCTGTCTACTTGGATGTGAATCCTAACTTGCCTACTTGCCAGTTGTGTGAAGGGCAAATTACCCATCTTCTCTCGGCCTCACTTTCCTCATCTGTAAGACAGGGATACTAATGGTGGCTGGCCAGTTTTCTGTTGATTAGTGTGCAGTGTTATAACACCAATGTCAAGGGTTCAGATCCCCTGTGCCAGCCACAAGAAAAAGAAAAAAAAAAAAAGACGCCTACTTCACAGGGCTGTGTTGAAGATTAAATGAACTAATCTTTAAAAACTCTTGGCCCAGCAGCTGACATAGAGTAAATTCCCTGGACTTAGTTGTGGTCAGTTTACCTCTTTCTCTGCAAGATGAGGACAGGCAGAAGGACAAAGCCTAGAAATCATAGTATTCCCTTAGGATTTCTTTTTCTGGAACTTTTCCCATTTCCTCCTTCTTTTCCCTGATTGCCACCCCCCCCCCCCATTGTTGCGTATCCCCAGAAGAATTATGTTGAATGCTGTGGTACTGTTCACCCCGGAGCTAAATCTGCTCTGCTGTACCTCAGGAAATAACTTCTGGTACAACTTCTTAGTAAAACCACAGCTTTTAACTTCTGTATTTACTGTGAATTGTATCTATAAAATCTTTTCCTTAAATGGGTCTCTTTCTCTCTAGAAGGTAAAAATACACGCATGTTCTCAGTTACAGACTTGGTCAATGTCCTGTGCCTTCAAAATATCTAATAAATACCATAATATTTGCTAATGATGCATTTTTTGGGAGGTATTAAGATGGCTCAGTTAAAAAAAATATAGATATTAGGCTGAACCCAACACATGTGTGTGTTGGAAGTAGGGATGTAATACAACAAAAAAATATAGTAATAGCTCACATTGAGCTTCACTAGCTGATGGCTTGTCTTGTCTCTTTCTCTTTTACAGCAACCCTGTGAGGTGGGTAGTCTTCATAACTCCACTGTACAGATGGGGATACTGAGGATCACACGGTGACTCAGGGAACAAGGCCCACACTCTTAACCACTAGGCAACACTGCCCATGCTGCTGAGTTTGTGCCTGGAAAGTTTTGGTTATTGCACATTGATAAAGATGGCTAACCTGTGGCCTTTGGGAAATGACACACCAGGAAGGACTAAAACCTCTGTTGGGTAAAATCAAGCCCACTTGTATTTCTGTAGTTAGGGAGTGTGAGATGTCATGAAGAGTTACCAGCCTCTCTTGTGAGCAGTGACTCAGACCTGCTAGCACCGTCTTCTCTCACTGAGAGTCCTTGGCTTGAAGGTTTTGGAGAAGGCAAGGAGAGAAGTAGGAAGAGGTGGACTTCATCCATTTAGGAACTAGTGTAAAACTGCAAATACTCCTTTTCTAGAGGACAACATCCTGAGCAGTGACATGTCCATGAATACTGATGAATACTTGGTTTAATACCAGGAGGTGGCCATAAATGAAAATGGCAAGTAAGGAATATAAGATGAAATATCTATCATTGACTGAATATATTCATTATTCTAAATGCACAATAAAAATAGAAATCACATTGTAAGTGATGTATTTAATGGTGATCATGACATGCCAGCTTCAGTTCTAAATGCTTTATGTACTAACCCGTTTATTCCCCATAATAATCCTGGGAGATAAGTTCTGTTTCTCGCTTTTACAGAAGTGGAAAGGCCCACAGAGGTTAAGTAGTTTGCCCAAGGTCACACACCGCAGAATGGCGGCAGTCTTTTAACCACTTTGTCTTTGACTTTTTCTCCCTTTAAAAATTTTTAAATGGAAAAAATTACAGAAAATAGACATATTTAACATCTTCATGTTTTATTCCAATTTGTTTTCTCCTCATATAAAAGAAAAAAAGTTAGAGGTAAAGTTTCAGTCCCTTTCTACCCTTCCTTCTCGCCCCAGGGCTACTGAGATTACTAATTTTATCTGTATTTTTCTGGTCTATGTTTTCATATTTTTCTCTAGATATGAATCATGCACAATATATAATATTGTTCTGTATTTCCGAATTTACAAAAATGCTATCATATGTGTATAGTTTTTCAGCCTGCTTTTTTTTTTTTATTCAGTGTTATGCTTTGAGATCTATCTGGGTTTATACAGATAGATGTATTTCATTCCTGTTGACCGTCGTGGAGTGCCCCATGGCACAGTGGCACCATGTTTCGTCCATTCCCCTCTCATGAACATTTAGGTTATTTCAATTTTGCCCTCTTACGATCAAAGCCGCCGTGGGCATCCACATGTACGAGTTCCCCTGGTCTATGTCCTCAGAGACAATTCCAGCTCCTGCATGTGGGCAGACTCCTGGCTCTTTTTCCAATCTCTCTATCTGGAAGTCACCTGAGCCCTCACACAGTCTTTCCCTGGGACTCAACACTGTTCACTGGGGGCCACGAGAGTCAAGATTCTTGTGTCACGCCTGTGTTAGTTCCAGGGTAGGTTTGGCAGCGTGGCCCTAGGGTTGCGTGGAGGGGCCGCCTGGGGTCAGGGCACTGTCCCACCGCTTCACTGGACTTGAGGCCACCGCTGGCAGTATTTCTCCTCATGGTCCATGCACAGTGAGAAGTCATACTTTGGAGCCAGCTGGTTCTCATTTCAGAGCCCACTTGCTCACTGGAGAAAATGAAAATCCCTCTAGCTGCCCTGGGAGTTTGTTTTCATCTCTGTTTCCATAACAATGGCTCGCTGTCACTGTCATTTGCATACCGGATTGCCCGCACAGGTACTGAATTAAATGAAACGGAGCGCTGAACCGCCCTCCTTATGCCCTTGATGGATTGTTTCTCAATGAGTAATGTTCACCCTTGTGCCTCCTTTCCAGAAATGGAATAAAACCAAGTACCATCAAAACAGAGAACCCATCAGACCTCAGAAACCTGAGGGTAAACCAGATCTGAGGGTAAAACAGCATGAATGACACTGTCCTCACCCTCCTGCGTAATAAAACCAAGTACCATCAAAACAGAGAACCCATCAGACCTCAGAGACCTGAGGGTAAACCAGATCTGAGGGTAAAACAGCATGAATGACACTGTCCTCACCCTCCTGCATAAGGAAACAGTCAAGGGCAATTGTACTCACCCTTGGAAGGAATCACGGTGGTGAAAACTTCTATATTTTCATCACTGCAGCTGTAAATCTGATGCATCGTTTCAACCTTCTCTCCCCAAAGTGCCTGGAAACCGGACGCCTCTCTCTGGACACCTAGTCGTGAGGTTTCCTAATCCAGTCTGGCTCGGGTATCATTGTGCAGGTTCACAAAAGCCAGGCTGGTGCTGTGAGCTCATCTCATTCCACAGTCTTCACTGCAACACTTTCTAGTCCCATCTGTCCTTTTTTTTTTATGAATCCTATTATTGCAAACCTTTGATTGAGCGTGGAGGCTTCAGTCCCCTCCCAGCTAGGATGCATTTAACATTTTTATTTTGCCGTGTCTGCTGCAGCGAATTTGGAAGTCTTTTTTGAAGTGACGACGAAGTGCAATCGCCTACTTGCTTAGTGCCGAGCTTGGCTGAAGAATTTCACCAGAAGGAAATGTGCATTTTGGGGAGTACCAGCAATTCAGCAATTCCCCTTCTCATTTCAAAAATGAAGGGGCTTTTAAAATTTTTTTCTCTAGGAGAACTGGATATTCAGTAATTTGTCATGTGTTAAGTTGGCTTCCTTCAAAGTTTCTATTTTAAACAAAAGAACTGTTTCTTCAGAGCATTCTTGTCTCATGCCACTGCATGACAAGGCTGATATTTCTAGAGAGTCGTGTGTTTAGCATCTCCTTGTACAACCTTGCAGGTGCTTACAGAGACGTGGTAACAGGCGGTGCTCCATCCTCAAGAGGCCTGATTACAGGAAGGTCATATTTTTATTATCCTATGTATCCTAATATATATTTATTATCTTATATATCCTACTATCTATACATATATGTTCTATACTGTCCTATATATCCTATGTATACCCTATATATACTACGTATTCTGTCTCTCTATATATACACATAGGTGCATACACAAAAATAAGGTTATGGTTGAAACATATGTATCATGCCAAGCCCACTGCCTTTTATTATACCATTACAGCTTTACTTCTTCATAATAATACTGATGGTGATGTAATAATATTAATAATAATAGTTGCTTTTTATTAAATGCTTGCTATGAGCTTCGTATATAATCTCATTTAATATCTACAGCTGCCCAATGAGACTAGCTATTATTTTTGCCATATTACAGGTGAGGAAACTGTGGCATGAAGATATTGAGTAACTTTCCTGATACTAAGACAGATAGTTTGTGGCAGAATTAGGATTTAAAACCTAGCTTGACTCCAAGCTAAAGCACTTAAACACTGAATTATACTTTCGTCTTTACCTCAAGAGCCTTCCGCCTTCTTTGTACTTGGGTGGACCTGATCCACACTACCTTAGACTGGAGTTGGTGTTCACTGATATTTCTATAGTAAACAAGTTGGAGCATTTACTCATTAGGTAGTTGTCAACATTATACCTCTTTCCCTGAGAATTGTACCCAGAGACAGAAGATGGCTCTGGAAAGACATGTTTGTTCTACCTGGGCTTGTCCCCTTGGACACGTTTCACTGGATCTGGGTGGACACCCGACCCAAACTACTGCCTCCTGGAACTGAAATTAGGCTTTGGTCTGGGGCCAGAGAGGAGTATAAACTCTGAATATCTGGAGGATTTTCCAGGGCCAATGGGAGTAAAGTAGGGGGGAAGCCAGTAGAAATACAAGAATCTGGTGGTTTGAAGGGGACTGGGGCCAGAATGCCAATCCTGGGTAGAGAGTTTTAGCTGGGAGGGGGGGGCAAATTGTTCCGCCGGGGCCCACACATGGGGGGTCTGTGGTCATGTACACACTCACATTAGGGCTAGTAAGAGGGATGGGGGAGGCTGGGGGTGAGGGGAGTGTTGGGAGAGCGAGGGGTGTATGTGGGGGTATTGCGGCAGAGATACAGGAGGGAGAGAGCATTGCCTATGTCCCTCCTCGCCTCTCTCTGC